TCTCTCTCTCTCTCTCTCTCTCTCTCTCTCTCTCTCTCTCTCTCACTCACTCACTCACTCACTCACTCACACACACACACACCCTTTTCATGCTGCGTTTACCCTTCGTCTTTATCTCTGAGAATCCCAGACACCAGCTGTCAGTCAAACGCTGTGGGCGGGGCCATGNTCTCTCTCTCTCTCTCTCTCTCTCTCTCTCTCTCTCTCTCTCACTCACTCACTCACTCACTCACTCACACACACACACACCCTTTTCATGCTGCGTTTACCCTTCGTCTTTATCTCTGAGAATCCCAGACACCAGCTGTCAGTCAAACGCTGTGGGCGGGGCCATGTCTCTGAGTCTCTGTTTGAGCCGTAGGTGGCGCTGCTGCCCTCCAGTCGTCTCCTCCTGTCCTTGTCTCCCTGTCTCCTTGTATCCTTGTCTCCTCGTCTCTTCAGCCACGTTTCAGCTGCTCCACTTCTTCTTCCTCTTCTGTTTATTCCAAACAAACCAGACGCAGGAGACGCATCACTTCCTGTGTGGCGAGCTGTCTGTGTTCACAGCAAATGGAGAAGTTTGATGAGAAGCTGCAGATGAACATGAGTGACTGATGGTGTGTGTGTGTGAGTGTGTGAGTGAGTGTGTGTGTGAGTGAGTGTGAGAACAGGTGAAACATTTACCTCTCTCTGATTGGTTCCTGACTGACAGTAGAAGCCAGTAGAATCAGTTCACCAGCTCTATTTCTTTCACTTTCACTTTTTGGTCTTGTCTTGTTTCCTCTCCTCCTTTCCTCTCCTTGTTTCCTTACTTCTCCTCCTCTCTCCTCCCTCCTCTTTCTTTCTGTCCTTTTTCTTTCTCCTCTGCTTGTTTTTTTTCCTTGTTTCCTCCCCTCTCCCCTCTTCTCTTTGTTTCCTCTCCTTGCCTCCTTTCCTCATTTCCTCTCCTTGCCTCAACTCCTTCTTTCCTCTCCTTTCCTTGTTTACACTTCTTGTTTCCTTTCATTGTTTCCTCTCCTCTCCCTTCTTGCCAGATCTTGTCCCTCCTTGTCTCCTTTCCTTATCTCTTCTCCTCGTTTCCTCTCCTGCCCTGCTCTCCTCGTTTTCCTCCTCTTTTTGTCTCCCATCATGCACTGCGGCATTCCTCACCGCGTCAGCACTTCCTTCAGCTGAAACAGGAAAAGGAAAGAGCTGCTTCCCCAGCTGTGTGTGTGTGTGTGTGTGTGTGTGTGTGTGTGTGTGTGTGTGTGTGTGTTGTACTGTAAGTGTGTGGGAGCGGCAGGGCGGACTCTCAGGTCTTCAGTGACTCAGACGGTTCTTCAGAGATCAGCATCATCTGGACACATCTGTCACTCGTCCATCAGTCTGTGATGAAACAGTGATTCAGCTGATCTTCACTGTTTTATTCACCTCAGCGAATCACAGAAAGACTGAAGCTCAGAGGAATCAGATGTAGAAAAATACCAGATTACAATTGAAGGCATCACGTTGCATAAATTATATAAAAACTTTATCCTTATAAACACACACTCAGAATCTGCACTGGTTTTTATGTTGACGTGTGTGTGTGTGTGTGTGTGTGTGTGTGTGTGTGTGTGTGTGTGTGTATTTTCCAGGACACCAAAGAGGAAAGCGGAGCTTTGATCTGTCCACTGTGTGACAAGAGCTGTCAAACACAACACCAGCTCACCATGCACATGTGTCAGGTGAACACACACACACACACACACACACACACACTCACACACACTCACACTCTTCACCGTCACTCTGCTTCACTTTGTGTCCGTGTTTTTTTTTTCTGAATAAATAAAGGTTAAAAATATTTTTGCTGCTGCTGCTGCTGAAGACTGGATATAAGTTTAATTATTTATTTATTTGTTTTGTTTTTGTGTAATTCAAACAAAAGAAAACAAAACAGTAATAATAATAATTATACTAAAAACAATCAAACACCGTAGACAAAGAAAGAAAGAAAAACTAAAATAAGATAAAAAAGCAGAGTAAACATTGGTATCATCCATATTTTCCTGTTGTTCATTTTAAAAGTGAATCAGCTGTTTCATTAGCTGCTCATTTCTCTCGACCACTGGTTGATATTTTTTGAATTCGTTTTTTCGCTGCTGCCTTTAGATTCCTGAATTTCAGAACAGACACTTTAATTATTTTGAGGAATTTAAAATGTTTCTGTCAAACGCTGTTGCAGGAATCTCTCACCCAGAGGTCCGACGCTTCGATTCTGTTTCCAAAAAACTGTTTCATCCTCTTTTTAAAAATAGAAAATCCTGTTAAAGTAACTGCAGAATCATGTGGTTTTTATTTCTTTACACAGAAAAGAAGGAAAAGTCACGTTTGAGTTCAGTTGCAAAGACAAACATCTGTTTAACTCAACAACATACAGAATAAAGTTTACAAAGATCTGTGTGATCAAAGAGGAAGTGACCGATACGCTCGGTCAGCTGATCGATCCTGTAGCTCAGATACTGTATCTGCTGAGAGTTGACGCGTTCGCCTTCGTCCCCGCAGCACAACGCCGACACCGGAGCGTCCGACCACTCCTGCAGCATCTGTGGGAAGTGCCTGAGCTCGGCGTCGTCACTGGACAGACACATGCTGGTCCACAGCGGGGAGAGACCCTACAAGTGCAGCATCTGTGGACAGACCTTCACCACCAACGGCAACATGCACAGGTACACGCTAAACACACGCTAATACACGCTAATACACGCTTTTTACCTTTTACCGACGCTGTCCTTTTACATGTCATCCAATCAGAAGTGAGCGTGATTCTCAGCTTCTTTTAACAGCAAAAAAAATTGTTTCCTCTCCTTGTTTACTCTCCTTGTCTCCTCTCCTCTTTGTCTCTCCTTTTCTCCTCTCCTTGTTTCCTCTCTCCTCCTTGTCTCTCCTTGTTTCCTCTCCTTGCCTCCTCTCCGTTCACCTTCTTTTAACAGCGTTTAAATATTTTTATTTTTCTGGCAAAATCATTTATCATGACACATATTCTAGGTGAAAGTGTTTTTAATCATTTAATTTCAGTCATTAACTGGTTCCATGATGTTTATATGAGGATTTAAATTCAGGTGAACATCGACCCAAAACATCCACTGCAGAGGTTAAACACAGAATAACTAAATACCCCTCCATATTAGTGTGTCCCTACTGAACTCACACACACACGCACACACAAACACACACACACACCCCATATAACCTCGGGCAGAGGAAGTTAGTGTTTAACTCGGTCCCCAGTCAACCATGATGGGAGCACAAAACCCAGACTGAGTGTGTGTGAGTGTGATGGTGATGGTGGGGGTGGGGGTTACACAGGAAGTGGGAAGACAACTTTAAACCATCCACCCCCCATTTCACACACAGACACACAAAACAACGCCCAGTCATTTATCAGTAAAGTCCAGCCTCCACCATCAAATCCAACGGTCCCTGCAGAGTGTTTGTGTGTGTGTGTGTGTGTGTGTGTGTGTGTTGTCAGTTATGAACCTGCATATTAATTCGGTCTGACCTTCATTGACCTCTGCTGGTTGTTGGTGATCTCACAGACCAACGTCGACCAATCAGAGGAGAGATCTGACAGAAACGATCGACGTTGATTCATCATCAAACAAAACTCATGTTTTTTTTCATATTAAAAGCTTAACTGTAAAGGGAAGGCTGCAAGACTTTTAATGTGAAAACTCAGGAGGGAAGTGTTGAGTTTAGAAATAAAAGCCCGTTCCAGTTAAATAACAAACTGATGGAGAATTTACATGAAAGCAGAAAGTTTGTGAGCTGGAGAAGTTTGAGGAAGTTTCTGTATTGACTAATAAAAACAGAGTCGCAGTTTATATTCGGCTGCTCTGTCGACTTCTCCTCCGTCCTGTGAAGAATAAAAACCATCAGACTGTAATCCACCGAGTCCGCATCAGGTGGTTTTTGTCAGTTTTATATTGTTTTTGTTTGTTAATTCAGTTTTAATACAGATTGATGTGAAGAGATTTGCTCTGTAGTAACTGGTGATGATGTGAGCAGTTGCAGATGGATAGAAACCAGTCAGTGAGTGAGTGAGTTAGAGTGCGAGTGTTGATGATGTGCAGCCTGTTCATGTTCTGAGGCTGAGGCGGTCTCGGTCACGGTGCTGGTATGAGGAGGTGTGGGCAGGAAGGAATGACTGTAGGCTGAGGGACGGACACACAGACATCTGCTCCGTGTCGCTGCAGTTTTCTCAATCATTTTTTCCTCTGTCTGTTTGTTTGTGTTTGTGCTCAGAGTGTTTTGGTGTTTGGCAGCGAGACGTTTGGTGAATAGTTAGTTAGTAGGAACCGAATGGAAAACTGTGTTTGTCCTCGACATCACGCCGTAAAAATAACAACAATGGAAGACTGGCAGTGGCTGTAACTGATGTTTTTTATTATAAAAGAGACAAATTTAGAAAAATAGATCAGATGCAGCCAGATAAAGATGCCTGAAGGCTAGAATGACTACGACCCATGAACGCCTCATCATCTTTAGTTGGATGAGAAGCAGAAACCCGACAGTTAAAAGGAGAGCGAGGTGTCGACAGCAGCTGTTTCTCTGCCGCTGCATCCCTTCACGTTCGAACCTCCTGCTCTCGCCTCGTCCTGCCGCAGCTTGAACCCGGCGGTCCGGTTTGGCGAGTCTCCGCAGTAGCGTGACTCTCCCTCTGAAAGACAAACTGAGCTCACACTGAGGGAATAACACGGCCTCCCGCCGCCTGCCGACAATCTGGATGCTGATTTCCATCAACACACCCTGGAAACTGGTTGCGTCATTTTCTCAGAAATCCTACAAGTATTATAAAACAGAAAGAAAAAAGACGTGTAGAGGAGGAGGAGGGACGAGGCCCTGCACCTCGTCGTCTCTGTTATACTCTGCTCATTTACAATGCAAACTGCAGGAGAGGGTGGAAGTAAAACAGGAAAGTCGAACTCGAGCTCCAGTTTTTTTTTCCTGCCCGTCTCTGCGAGGCCGCGTTTTACATGCTGCTGTAGGAAAATAAAGAGGAGGCCTGTTCGGATGGAGAGTGGAAAAGAAGAGCAGAGGGAGGGAGGGAGGGAGGGAGAGAGGAGGAATCCATTTTGCAGCAGAGCATCCTTTGAAATGTGAAACGCGAGATTTTCCTACTCGACCGTCTTCAAACAGGCAGAGAGAGAGAGAGAGAAGGAGGGGGGGCAAAAAGAAAGAGAAGATGAGGGTGAGACGTAGGCGATGGATGGAAAGAGGGAAGGAACAGATGTGATGATGAATTCTCATCCTTGTTTGGCAAAAATGTGAAATGTTTTGTTTCCAGTAAAAAGAGACAAATTTAGAAAAATGGAGAATAAAAAAAAAAGAAAAAACCCTGAAGGCTCAAAACTTCTGATTCAGCAGGAGAGAAAGTGGAAATCTGTTTCCTACAAAGGAGGAATCCATTTTGTAGCTGAGCATCCCTGAAATGTGAAACTAGTTCTTCGAGTTTTTTGTGTGAGGGCCTGAAGGCGTCGCACGAGCTTCACCGAGGAGGACAGATGCTTTTTCCATCCGGACGTTAGAGAAGCTGAAGCGACGATGAGTTCAAGGGTCGCTGGTTCACTGGAGGAAAAATGGGCTTTGTTTTAATTTGGTTAAACAAAAATTAATTACACAAATTAATTGTTTAGTTCAGTAAAAAAACTTTTTTATCTTTTTTTTTTTTCTTTTTTAAACTTAATTTTCTTTCTGTCCCTCTTCTCTCTGTCGGCCCGCTGTCGGCCCGCTGTCGGCTCCCGGTCTGCCCTCTCTTCCTGGGTGAGAGGCCGCAGGGCCTGGTTGCCATGGCGAGGCATCCTATTAGCCTATTATGGGCGGTCAGCGGTGTGCTGAGCCGCGATTGGCTCTGTGGCTGCTGCATGTTTGATCTGAGCAGAGAGGAAGAGGAGAAGAGAGGATTTGGTCTCTGTCAGAGGAAGAACTGAACTTCTCTGAGGCAGAAACAGCGAACAACGTACTTTTCTTCATCTCCTCCTCCTCCTCCTCCTCCTCACTTCCTCTGAGTCAATAAGAAGCTCATTTTCGTTCCCTCCTGAGGATAGAAACAAAGTGTTTTAGTTTGACTCACAGATCCATGTGTTATCCGTCTCCTGGACGACTCCACAGCGCCCCGTGTGGCGATGCAGAGGAACTGCACCGTGTGACATGACGACACCGAGTTACTGCTAAAAAACTGTTTCTGTCATCTTCCCACAGACAGTCAGTGACTCACTCATTTCTACAGCAGGAAACAGTCATCAGTCCACAACATTAACCTCTGTGATAAAAATTTTAAATGTTAACTACGACTCCCAAGATGCAATTCTGCAAGAAACATCCCGTGTCACTCCCTCCAGGAAATAGACGACACCATTGACACAACAGACTAAACAAGTAAATAAACAACCCTCGCTGCACAGGACCAAGAGGGACCAAAAACTTTCTTTCAACTTCATGTGTTTTTCAGGAGTAAAATGTTACAACTTAAAGTGTCCCCGTGCAGCACAGGCGCAAACTTGGTTCCTAGGTCCTGCATAGGGCCAATACAAATAAAAGGAAATATACCATATAATCATATCATCAAATGGCCATATACAAACAATAAATACTACACACACACACAATCCAACAGCTTATGATATGATAGAATTAAGAGGAGATTCGTTAACGACAGGAAGTAAATGTAAACCAGTGATTTCAGTTGCTGTCACGATGTTTCCTGTTTCCTGCGTTTAAATTTCCAAACCAACCAATCACAGAGGAGGAACCGAGTGAAACGACCTCAACATTAAAGATATTTAACTGTTTTAACTGAACCATCTTTAATGAAGTCACAGTGAACAGATGCTGTTACCGTGGAAACAAAGATAAACCTGATGAACTGCTGCGTTTTTTTTTTTTTTCAATTTACTTCCTGTGTGTGTGTGTGTGTGTGTGTGTGTGTGTGTGTGTGTGTATATATATATATATAAATATATATATATATATATATATATATATATATATATATATATTTCAGTAGGATTGTGTGACTGCTGACTCAGCATGTGTTCTGCTCTCTGATTGGTCGGTTCCAGGGTCACAGTAAACTTTGGGCCGAGGAGACTTTGCTCTCTGATTGGCTGCGCCCCTCCACTCACCTGATTGGTTAATAAACAACTTCCTGTCAGCTGGTGTCAGATCTGCTGACTCCGTCACTCTGTCAGGACCTCTTATGGGCGTCCAGCCCGCTGCCTGTCACCTCCTATTAATAGCAGCTCCTCTCCTCTTTCTTATGGTTACCCCACTTTCCTTACCTCCTTTCTCTCCTCCTCTCCTCTTGCTTCTTCTTTTCTTCCCTCACTTCCTTCTCCTCCTCCTTTCCTTTCCTTCCTTTCCTTCTTTCTTATTTCCTCTCCTCCCTTCCTCTCCTTTATCTCATCTCCTTGTCTCGTGTTCTCTCTTTTCTTCTCCTCCCTCCTCTCCCTGTCTCTTCTCCTTGCCTTGTTTCCTCCCTTGTGTCCTCTCCTTCTTTCTGCCCTTGTTTCCTCTCCTCCTCATCTCCTCGTTTCTTCTCCTCTTTGAACTTTTGTAAACCGACACCTTGCTGCCACCAAATGCTAGCTTGATGACCTTTACACACACACACACACACACAGACACACACACACACACTAAAATAGTGAAACACATGTAAACAGTCTGCACACTTTCTCACGCCTCTAGTAACACTTAAACTAAAATACACAAACACTCGTTCGTCACGTTTACAAGTATCTCACACACACACACACATACACACATTTACACACACACACACACTCACACACACACACCCATACACCCATTTCCACACACACACACATACACACACTTACATACACACATTTTCACACACACACACACTCACACACACACACCCACTAAAATAGTGAAACACATGTAAACAGTCTGCACCCTTTCTCACGCCTCTAGTAACATTTAAACTAAAATACACAAACACTCGTTCTGCACGTTTACAAGTATCTCACACACACACACCCTATCGCACACACGTGTCTTGAAATCAAATGACACCATCTGACCTTTGAGACGACACTCTTCCTCCTCTTCCTCCTCTTCCTCCTCTTCCTCCTCTGCTTCTGTTCAGCAACAAGATGAATGAGCTGCATCATAAACAACAGAGACACAAATATGTTGTTGTTTTGTTTGTTTCTCTGGAGTTATTTGAGGAGACGTGTTTCTAATCTGAGATCTATTAAATCAAGGTTTCAATTCGCATTCACTAATGAAACTGTGGGAATGATTTAAAGTTTGTAAGTTTTAAAGCAGAAACATTCAGTTTAAATCCAGTTTGTTCTTAACGACTGAAGACACTGACGAACCTGTGAGAAAGATATGAATGAAACAAACCACAGGGAGTTTAAACACTCATTTAAATCTTTGCTGAATTAAAATCTTAATTAAATAGAGAATCCTCCATCTTGAGCAGATGAAGATTGGATCTGGCTTGTTGTAAATGTTTTTACCTGTTTAACGAACAGAGTGAAACGAACCTGTCGGCTTCATGTCTCTCTTCCTCTGTGTCTGCGTCAGACATATGAAGATCCACGAGAAGGACCCGGCCAGCGGTCTGCTTCCCGTCAGCCCCCCCTCCCCCACCAAACGCCGCCGTCCGTCCGTCAAGAGGAGGCAGGGACCGGAGGAGGAGACCGGAGAGGAGCCGCCCAGCAAGAAGGTAGAAAAGCCCCGTACGGCCGGGATTAACATCACAGAGGTGGGGGGTGGAGGGGGGGTAAAGTATTCCCTGTGGTCTCTGGTAATTTAACTCATTGTTCCAGACGACGGGGTTTTAAACACATGATGTGATCCGTCACAGACACGGACCAAAAGAGAGAGACGACAAACCTTCCCTCAGTGTCGCAGCGAAGCAGACACCAGCTGCTGAGAAAAGATGATTCAGCAACTTTTAATTTGGGACAATTTGTCAAAATATAAATAAATATAAACTAAAGGTCAGAATCTACCAGCAGCAGACTGTTTAACGAGCTTTTCTGTCATTTCATTGGTTGTGAAATGGGTCGACATGTTGGTGTTGACATGTTTCCGTCACATCAACAAAAACAATTTTCAACTTTTCACAAAAGTCAAATTTCCCACTGAGCTGATGAAAGGAAACGAAAAAAATCCAAGGACGTCACGAGGAGCAGCTTCACAGTTTTCACATACAGAGACGACAGTGATGACATCACAGTCGTCTGTGGCGTGAACATTGATGTCGTGGTGTCGGTGTGTGTGCAGGTGGTGGAGGACGCGGCGGCAGAGGAGTCGGCGGCGGTGGTCCGCGGGTCAGAGGAGGAGCTGCTGCCCTGTCCCATCTGCTTCAAGACCTGCAGCTCCAGACTGGAGCTGGACGCACACATGGACACACACCCCGACACCGCACTGAGGTACACACACACACACACACACACACACACACACACACTCTCTCTCTTTTAGTCGTTAATAAAATTAAAAAGTTTTTAAAGAAAGTGAATGAACCAGGTTTATAGATTCATCAAAGAGATGAGGCTCGGCTTAAAGAGGATGGATGATGGATGATGACGAGACAGAGGAGGAGGCTAATAAGTCACCAATGGGCGAGAGAGGCAGAGAGAGAGAGAGAGAGGGAGGGAGAGGACAACCTAATAAGTCACAGAGAAGAGGAGGAGGTTTTAGGACGCGCTCGGCCGGGTCCCGTTGCCTTGACGACACCCTCCCACCCGTCCTAAAAGGGGGGGAACAATCTGTCTGTCGCCATGGCAACAAAACTCCTAACGACCCCCCCCTTTCCTCCTCAACACCACAAACACAGAGTTCAAAGTTGGTTTATCATGTTGTTTTTTATTAATGGAGGAAAAGAAAGAAAGAAAGAAAGAAATACAGGAATAAATGAAAGATGGAAAACAGAGAAGAAATAAAAAATGACATGAATTAGGAAGAAAAAGGAAGAGAGGTGATAGAAAGACAAAAACGAAGGAAAGAAAGAAAGGTCGGTAGTAAGGAGAGAGGGACCACGAGGAAGGGAAGAAGGAAGGAAAAAGAAGGAAACGAAAACATTAAAGGTTTCCTTCCTTTTAAGTAAAGAAGAAAAAGAAAGGAGGAAGGAAAGAAAGAAAGAGAGTGCAGCAGGCGGCGCTGAGCTCGTTATAGAGGCAGCAGGAATATTTAGCTGTAAATCCTCACTAATCAGCCTGTAAGAGGATCTGAACTGTAGGGAGGAGAGGATGGAGGGATGGAGAGAGAGAGGGAGAGAGAGGTAATTTAACTGAGCAACAGGAGGATGGAGGGATGGAGAGATGGAAGAGACACGTTAGTTACCAACATTTTCTTCTTCATATCATGAAGTGAGTTTGTTTTGGTCTCAGACTTTCAGACGCACAAAACCATTTGAAGAAGAAGAACCAAGTATTTAAAGATAACGAATCAATTCATCCAAAAATAACTGATAGATCAATCAATAATGACAATAACCGCCCTGATTAAAACATTTCTGACATTTAGCAACAGCACATGATGAATTCCCTTTGCTTAAATCTCACGTGATGATTTGATGTTTTTCTTCCTCACGCTGAACTGAACTGAACTGAAGATCTCAGTGTTTTATAAATAAAAACAATAAACGAGAAATAAACATGATAAAAACCCAACAGCACAGACTAAACACACTCAGCTTCATCTCAACAGCACTGGTGAAGTTCGTCAGTCCACAATCCAAACAGATGACACAACACTCATTCTGCTTTAATAATAATTCATAAGAAATAAATATTCATAAACAATTAGATGAAACATCACAAAGTAATGTCAAGAGTGTAAATGTTGAAGACGCATTTCCTGCTTCTCTGAAAGACAAATCTGAGTTTGAGCTTCCTGTACGGCGTCCCCCTCCTCCCCGTCCCCACACTTCCTGTCCGCCTCGACTGTCACTGACCAATGAAATGATGTAATGACCAGAAAATAAAAAAAGTTCATCTGATCGACTGATTGTAGCAGCTGTAGAATAAAGATGGAGGAGGAGGAGAGATGGAGGTGGAGAGTTCAACAAGTGCTGGTCCACATATGGTCCGCAGTGTGTGGATGCCCCCCGCCCCCCCCCCCAACCACCACCACCACCACCCCACTCCACCCTACCCCACCAAAAATCCTCTGACAACTTGTCTGAGGGGATTACAGACAGCTTAAACACACACACACACACACACACACACACACACACACTTCGACAGGATGTGATAAGAGTGTGTGTGACTGTGGCAGACATTGAGCAGCTGTCCTCTCAGCGCTTAACAAGAGCAGGTTATCACACACACACACACACTTCTATACATGTGATGAGGACCCCTGTATAGAAGCAGAGTGTGTATAAACAAAAGACCAGAAACATGTTCAGAGTAACGGATCGGGTTTGAAGGTTTGAAGAACACATCACTTGAATCTGATTCTGAACCTGAACCGGGTCTGGACTCTCTCAGCTTCTGTCAGATCGACTTTCCAAAGACCGACCAACACGTCAACGTCTACATCTCAAACTGATCCTGGTGAAAGTAAATGTACAGCAGAGGAACACACACACATGAACACACAGAGAGAAATGTCACCACCTTGTGGCCTGACTGAGGAACTGCATCGCTGTGTCCCACAGCAGCAGCCAGGCTTCTTCCTGCACTGATCAATCTGAGGATTATTTTTCTCAATGAATCAATGGAGGAAGAAGAAGAAGAAGATAGACAGTAGTTTATGTCCTGATGAAATCATAAATATCAGAACAGGATCTTGAAGATCTTGAGTTTTCAAAAGAAAATATTCCATGAAGTTTTCGTCTCTTCGCTGCGTCGTGTCGTCCTCTGATCTTCTCCTCAGAGTATCGCAGTGTAAATCTAACCCTGTTCGCTGGTTGTGTGTTCGTAGGTGTGATCTCTGCTGCCTTTCTTTCCGAACTCACCGCGGGTTGTTGCGTCACAACGCGGCAGTTCATAAGCTCCTCCCTCAAGACCCCAGCGGCCGCCCCTTCATCCAAAACAACCCTTCCATCCCCACGGGTTTCAACGACCTGGCCTTCATCGACTTCTCTTGCAAGAAGTTTGCTCACATTGCACAGGTATCCACGCGCCGAACCGCCAGTCACACATGACATAATCCGTTAAATAGAAATCACGTTCGTGTTCATACTGTTGGTTTTTTGGCGTCAGTGTTTAACCAGCTTCGTTTTTTCCTCATCCAGGTTTGGTGCGAGACGAATCTTCGCCGCTGCATCAGTAAGTTCCACCGGTTCGTCTGTGACACTTGTGACAAGGCGTTCCCCCTTCGCTCGGCCCTCGAGCTCCATAAAACCACCTCCCACCCGGAGAAGCCCGCCGACACGGAGGAAAATGCGGAGGAGGCCGAAGAAGATGAAGCTGCAGAAAGTGGTGCCGAGAAGGACGGTCAAGACGTAGAGAAAGAAGTTCCGCCATCGGAGCAGGCCAGCTTCTTGGAAGCGCTCGGGCTTCAGCACATTTCCACAGTAAGCTTCAGAAATAAAACGACAGTTTGTCAAAACAGGGTTTTTAAATCCTGAAATTTACCAGGTTCATTTGACAGTTAAATGTTTTCTTTCATGTTCAGCTCAGAGTATTTAGATGGATGATCAGAGCTGTCAAAAGCTAAAGGAACTCCTGAAGTTTTCTAATGACTCCTGTTTGTGTCTCAGGTGAAGTCTGGTCCGACAGACGATGAGATCCACCAGGCTCATCTGGACAGCATCAAGGTGATCCACGTGGAGCCGCCGTGCTCCAGCCTCCCCCAGGAGCCGGCCTCCGCCTACCTGTCCGGAGGTCTGGGGCTGACCCTGGGTCTGGGTATGGGCGGTCTGACGGCCCTCAGCATCCCGCTGCTGGAGGCCTCCGCCTTGCAGGGCCTCTCCCAGAAAGACGCCCTCAGCCTGCTGTCCCTGCAGCCCTTCCCGACCGGCTTCCTGCTGCAGCCCGACGGGGGCGCCACGGCGGCCAGCGCGGCGTCGTCGGGCGCCAAACCCAGTGAGGCGGGCGGAGCCGGGATCATGGAACTGGCCGACATCCAGCAAATCCTCAAAGTGGCGACCGCAGCGCCAAATCAGATGGGACTGACCCTCCCGCCTCTCGCCAAAGCTCCTGGATTCACTGGAGGTCAAGGTGGGTGTGGCCTGAGCTGGAGGTCGTTATGTTCGTTAATCAATCAATCAGTCGATCAATAACTTGAAGGTTTTCGACTCGTTTCTTCCAGGTCAAGTCCAGGGTCAGAAAGCGATGCCTCCATTGAAGCCCAAACCTCCCATCACCCCTCGCTCCAGCCTCACAGCGACGACTCCGCCCCCCCTCCAGAGCTCCCAGCAGGCCTCACTGGGCTGCATCAGCCCCAGCCTGCCACCCCCCACCCCCACCCTCTTCAAAACCCCTTCCTCATCCTCCTCTTCCTCCTCGTCAGCTGGGAACGGAGGGCAGATGGATGCAGAGTGCATGGGCGACGCTCACACGCCGCTGTCTGATTCGCCTCCAGCTGCCACCACGGCTGTACACGAGGAGGCGGGGCTTAGCGGGAGGAAGCCAGGAACCAAAGGGGGGAACAACGCCGGCTCGGCTAGAGGCTCGTTCCCGTGCCGCTTCTGCGACCAGGTGTTTGCTTTCTCCGGCGTGCTGCAGGCTCACATGCGCTTCCACCTCGGCATCCTTCCTCACCAGTGCAACATCTGCGACTACGTAGCTCCGGACAAGGCGACGCTGATCCGACACCTGCGCACTCACAGTGGCGAGCGGCCGTACGTCTGCCGGGTCTGTCATTATCCCTTCACTGTCAAGGCCAACTGCGAGCGCCACCTCAGGAAGAAGCACGCCAAGACCTCGAGGAAGGACATCGAGAAAAACATAAAGTACGTCACCTCCACCACTACAGCGAACATCGCAGCGGCCATCACCGCTGCAACCACCAACCCCACCCAGGACACGGAGACCGGCTGCGCCGGAGCTGAGACGACGTGCCGGTTCTGCGGCGAGGACCTGAAGACGTACCGGGCGCTGCAGATCCACCTGCGCACGCACAACGGCTGCCAGAGGAAACCGTTTGAGTGTCGGCGCTGCGGCGCTGCCTTCCTGGCCAAACGCAACTGCATCCACCACCTGCTGAAGCAGCACCCTGAGGTGCAGGAGAGGGAGATCGAGGATCATATCGCCACGCTCCAGCCGGCGGCCGTGCCGGTCGCCACCGTGGCCTCCGCCCGAGCTGCTACGGTGAATCCGATGGTGCTGAACGGGATCAGTCAGCCTCCGCTCCAGGCGCTGCAGGCGGTGAAGGTGGAGGAGCTGCCCAACGTGGTTTATCCTGCAGAACTGGACCAGCCGCTGGACTTCTCCGCTAAAGGTCGTGGAGCCGGCAGCCAGGCGGCGTCTCCTGGGGTCAAACTGGAGAGCGTCTCCCCCAGCTTTGACTGCTCCGCCCTGGACCAGCCCATCGACCTGTCCATCCCCAGCAAGAGGCAGCGGAGAGACGGCGCCAACGGAGAGAGCAGGGAGATCAAGACGGAGCAGAGCGGCAGCAGCATCGTGGAGCAGCAGAACGCCATGGCTCTGTCCAAGGACGAGAAGCCGGGGAGCTCCCTGCCTTCTCTACACCCCCACCCCCACCTCGGCTGCTACCAGCTCCCCCCTGGATCCACCCTCCCCCCTGCCTCCCTCCCCAACCTCACCAACTCTGCTCGAGCGCAGCGCCTCAAACCGCTGCTGCCCAAACCGGCCTCCACCACCTCCTCCTCGCCCTCCACCTCCCTGAAGGAGCTCCCTCCTCTGGCCTCCATCGCTCAGATCATCCACTCCGTGTCCGGAGCTCCAGACCTGCTGAAGAGAGAGGCTCCCTCGCTGGAGGGAAAGCCCCAGGCCGTTGCTGCGTCCTCTCAGGCCGATCCAGCCGCTGACGCCCCGGGACCCTCCGCTGGTCCGGAGACGCCGAGCGACGACACGTCTGAGGGAACGTCCAGGTTTGTGAGCTTCGATAAAAATCACAAAAATGACTTCATCATGTCTTCATGCTTGTTAATTTGAAGAAACTCCTCCCCCCCTTCAGAAAACGGTCCAGGAAGAAGACGGCTGCTCTGGCAGTGAAGGAGAAGACGACTGTTGTGAGCAGTGGCGGCGGCATCGATCTGGAGTCCAGCGGCGAGTTCGCCAGCGTGGAGAAGATGCTCGCCACCACCGACGCCAACAAGTTCAGCACCTACCTGCAGACCGGAGCTGCAGACCTGGGGGGAAAGAGAGGTAGGAGGGGGGAGGGCTTGAATGATGGATGGATGAGTGATATAAAAGTTGGGGGTGGATGATAAACTGAGGCTTAATTCAACACAGATGGAGACAGAGCAGGAGGAGGGGAGGAGAAGGAGGGAGGGGTGAAGGAGGAGGCGAAGCCTGTGGCGGCGGCGGTGCCTCCGCCCAAAGGGAAGAAGAACGCCTACTCCAACTCTGTCCAGAAGATGACCTGCCCCTTCTGCCCCCGAGTGTTCCCCTGGGCCAGCTCCCTGCAGAGACACATGCTGACACACACCGGTAACACACACACACACACACACACACACACACACACACACACACACAGACCTTACCTCTGAACCTCCGGCGTTTTCTCCTCATCCTGATCCTCCATCTTTCTCTCTCCAGGTCAGAAGCCGTTCCCCTGTCCGAGGTGCGACGCCTTCTTCTCCACCAAATCCAACTGTGAGCGCCACCTGCTGAGGAAACACGGCGTGACCCACAGGACGCTGCGACGCAACGGCGCCCTCATGAAGAAAGACGGAGACGACGGTTCACACGAGAGCGCAGGTCAGAAAATACCAGGGTGTTATATTTCAAACAGTCCAGAGGTTTTGATTATTTTGTTATTATCTTTATATATTATAATCTATATATATTTTCTAGTTTTTATTCATCTGAATCATTTTCGGCTGCAGAGATAAAACCGTACATCTACAGTATATTGGTCATTGTATTGATCATATTGATTGTGTTTTGTCCCACAGAGAGTCAGTCGGAGACGGAGCAGGTTGCATCAGAAGCACAAGACCTCAGCAGCATCAGCACCTCCACAGACTCAGGCTCCGCCGCCACAGCGGGGAGCCCCGCCCCCTCCGATCAACAGGGGGCGGTGTCGGCGAAAACAAGCCCCACCCCCAAAACAAGTCAAGGTTAGTCACAGGAAACAAATTGAAACTGAGACTTAAATCAACAAAATGTGTTTTATTTGTTAATTTTGTTATAATTTGTTTTTGTAACATTTTATCTATTTATTTTATTTGCTGGATCCTTTTTTTTTTTTTAAAGTTTTTTAAAGTGGTTTTCAAGGTTCTGTATAAATAAAGTTTTTAAAGTCATTATCATCATGATCTGATGTGTTGTTCGTATTGTTGCCCAGTCGGCTGTCGACACTGACAGATGTTGGTTTGTGCCGCAGGTTGCAGTCCATCTGAGAGCGGCACGGAGCAGTCCGAGTCAGACGCCACGGAGCAGCCGGAGCAGCAGGGGGCGCCAGAGACCACCGCAGCACCGGGGAAACAGCCCCCACTGAGCAACAGCACCAAGGTACAACAACACAAGACGGGTGTACGTTCACAACATCCAACACGCAGACCCAAACATGGATTAATCCGCCACTGGAAATAGTCCCCAACAAAATGCTCTTTATCTTCCTGTTTGTCTGATTGAAAACTGCAGCGAGCAGCTAGAGACAGGAAGTCAGACTGTTGTGAAAGCTGGCAGTAGTTTTAATTCAGTCGTCACACATTAAAAGGTAATATAGAAACTATATAAACAGAAGAGAAAGCCAATGGACTGACTGTTGCATAATTTTATAATAATTAATAAATCATTCAATTTCATAGCATGAGAATTTAGAAACAATGGATTCAGTGATCAAACAGTGAAGAGTTTGTGATGAAATTATTGATTTTATTGATAAAGATCAATTCATTTTCTTTTCCTACCGCAGACCAGATTTTTACAACTGAAGAATTACATGACTAAAAGACAATAATTAGATTTAAAGAAACACGTTTTCTCAGTAACTATCAGCAGAGAGTGTGGAGACATTTGAACCAACCTTTACCGATCGATCATCGGCTCCAGTATTGATCTGTGGCGTCTCTTCCAGGTGGAGAGCGCAGACGACGACGACTGCCACAGCAACAAAAGTCTGGACCTGAACTTCGGCAAAAAGCTCATCGACTTCAAGCTCTCCACGTCGTCAGGCTCCGCTCAGGAAGAACAAACCTCCCAGCCCGCCTCCTCTTCATCTCCCCCCTCATCATCCTCTACCTCTGCTCCCCAAGTCGCCACAGAGAGCCCAGAGAAGGAGGAGAAGGAGAAAAGTGCTGCGACCTCCTCCTCCTCCTCCTCCTCCTCCTCCTGCTCCGGCAGCCCGGCGGTGAAGCAGCAGCCCGAGTACAAACACGTCTGTCGGGTTTGTAAGAAGAGTTTCCGTTACGCCACCACCCTCGCTCGTCACGAGAGGGCGCACCTCTCTGAGGAGACGCCAGCTCCGGCACCGGAGGAGGAGACGCCGTCTCCGCCGGTGAAAGAGGAGGCGCCGGAGAGTGACGCCACCAAACCGAACGAGGAGGAGAAAGAGGAGGAGCAGAGGAAGGAAACGGAGATGGAGGCGGAGGACGGAGGGCTGAAGGGAGGAGAGAGCGAGGTGGGGGAGAGCGGGGAGTCGGAGGAGGAGGAGAAGGAGAAGGAGGAGAGGAGCGACGAGGAGGCGGAGGCGTCAGAACCAAAGAGTCTGGAGGGAGGAGAGACGTCAGGAGGACGAGTCGACAAGAGGAAGAAGATCTGTAACGTCTGCGGGAAAAGATTCTGGTCCCTGCAGGACCTGACCCGACACATGAGGTCACACACAGGTACTGCACACACACACACACACACACACACACACACACACACACACACACACACATCAATAATCTAATGTGTAAGTACTCACCTGCTCCTCCCTCTGTCCAGGTGAGCGGCCCTACCAGTGTCAGACCTGCGAGCGGACTTTCACTCTGAAGCACAGTCTGGTCCGTCACCAAAGGATCCACCTGAAGCCCCGCGGAGCCGACGGATCCTCCGCCGCCAACGACGACGCCAGCGAGGACGGAGACTCCTGCACCCCGACCCCGACGTCCACCTGCCCGCCCTCAGAGAACGAGAGCGAGTGCGGGAGCGCCGCCGCCGGGGCCAAGGAGCTGGAGGAGGACGACGTAAAAGAGGAGGGAGAGGGTCAGCAGGAGGTCGGCGATGGAGCAGAATCAGCCACGATGGAGGATGAGGATGAGGAGGAGGAGGAGGAGGAGGAGGAGAAACCAGCAGAGTCTGGAGCAGATCCAGAACCGCCAACTGCCGCCGCTGCTTCTGAAGAGGCGGACGCAGAGGAAACATCAGAACTTCCTGCGACGCAACAACCCTCCACCACCACGACTCCCAGCCAACAAGCTACTGACACAAAGACAACTACTAGCGACGACTCCTCAGCCAGCAACTTGAAATCAACCCCCGACTCAAACACCTCCAAAGACCCCTCCCCCTCCTGCCCCTCCTCCTCCAGCCCTCCACCAGGGGAGGCCTCAGCGGCCGCCCCGGCTGAGGGCTTCATCCAGGGGCTGCTGGAGATCCACGCCAAGCCCTCTCTGGAGCACATCCTGCCCAACGGAGAGCCTCCTCTGGTGGGGGTGGACTGAGAGGAGCCTCCCTCTGCCTGAACCAACGTCACCACAGTGCCATACGACGGAAGGACGCTACACCATTGATGATGATGATGATGATGATGATGATGATGCAAAAACTCGCCCGGAAAACTTTTTGATAGAAAGACGAACACCTCGTTTTCTTGAAGTGCCTTACTACTAGTCCTACTTCTATGATGTTTTTTGCTATATCTTTATCTGCATTATTACGGAGGATGGATCTAATTTTTATAGCTTTTTATGATGATAATGATTTGCATTACTATTTTTTTGTGCGGGGAATCTATATTTCAGCAATAAAAAGAATAAAGTTACGATTTATTATTGTTCTAGATTCTGTTTGAGAATTTATGATCAACTTAGGAGACGCAGAGAGACAGACACAGACTGAGACGGACTGTCGGCACCTGCGTTTATTCTTCTGTATTTAAATCACAGCTGGGCTACAGCCTCACATCAGACTGAACAATCCAATTTTAAGATTTGAACCAGCTTTGGATTTGAGAATGAACTAGTCGAGGTGGGGAACTTGACTTTTTCTTTTTGGCCCGTCAGCCACAGCAGCGTTTCAAAATTCAAAAATCACCAACCAGAAAATTGAAACTGGAGGTGACGGCTGCTTCAGCCCGGGTTCACTCACCAGCAGACGGCCGGTGGTCGCCTCCCGCTGCGTGGCTGAGGAAGCTTTTTGTAACTGGAAACCCAGAAAGGTCAACGCCTCGTCGTCTTTTCTGGCTCGCTTCCGCACCGATCCCCATCTCTCGACTGGCTCTGAGAAAAACAACACACACGAACTTGACAAAGTCGCACCAGATTTCTGTGTGAAAACTCTTGAAAGGGCAGATAATAGTGTTGATCAGTTTGTGTTCTCCATGTTTTTTGTTTTTGTTTTTTGTTTTTTTTTAAACCCATCACACTATTGATCCCTTCATCCCTCAAAGCCACCCTGTGAGTTGGTTTGTGTGTTAATAATTTCTCATTCATAATCATTCTCATTTGATTCCATGTGTGTACAGAGAGTTGAACATTGGCATGTGATGCTAGAGTATTTTCTGTTTTTCTGCGTGTGTGCGATTATCAGTGATATTTAGGTGTAGGGCGGGGAATTCTTTTGTTTTGTGGATTTTTTTATAACTGAACAAATCAAAATTTTTTGTTGTGTATGTGTGCGAAAGTGTGTGACTCCCACCTGTCTCTCATCGTCGCCCCCTAGTGTTCATTTAGGGTTTATTACAGGGCCTCTGGTGTGCTAATGTTTATGGCCGCTAACACCTGACCCAGGTTCAGTTTACCTCAACCTCTGCTTTTTAACTGCAACCCTTAAAACAACAGACGAGCAGCACTGTAGGCAACCCTTTAAATCCTATGTCTTCCTAAACAGGCTAGCAGGGCTAATTCTTTGCTAGCCTGGTTTCCACTGTGGGCCAAATCAGAGCTAACCAGAGCTAACATGGCTTCAAACAGCTAGCCAGGGCTAACATGTCTAAGTCGGAACTGGCTTGGCTTGCACAATGGCCCAAACAGAGCTAACAAGGCTAACTTGGTATCAACAATGGTATAAATTAGAAATAGCATGGGCTAAAGCATTGCTAGCATGGTTTACACAAGTAACCCTAATACACACAAGAAAAACAGCTTAACCTTCACCACGGCTTTTAAAAGGGCTAACACTAGCTAGCTGTACTTATTAGCTAGGGTTGACTAAATGGACATCAGCCACAGGGTCAAACACATGCTAACTAGGGTTAACTCTCCAGATCAGACAAGTTAACCAAGCTCCTAAGGCCTTAAATGGGTTACATTCTCGGGTACAGTTAGCTAGCCTTTGTTAGCTCTTATTGTTAGCCTTAGTACAGTGGGTCCTTAGATATCAACTACAGAGTAAAAGCACATGCTAGTTAGGGCTAACTAACCAGAGCAGAGAAGATAGCCAAGCTAACACTGGCTTGGTTAAATTAGTTTGGTATGGCCAGTTAGCTGTAGCTTGCTCTAATCTTTATCCTGAATGTTGTGCAGTGGGCCCTTAGTTACCAATCACAGGCTAATAACACATGCTAGTTTGGGCTAAATGACTAGCACAGGCAAGTTAACTAAGCTAACATTGTGTTAATAGCAGCTAATGCAGGCCTAGCTAGTCTCCTTCCAGTATTATCACAGTATATTGACTCGGCCATGGACAACTTTAGCACTGTTTGTCCCCCTTTAGCCCCGTCTTCTCCTACGTCAAATCAGTCACATCTAGTATTAATGTATTTGGCATTAGTGACAATCACTTTTAATTTTCAAATGAAAACAGATTAATGAAATTATAAATGAAAGCCCTCAGTTGTATCTCAATATGATTTCCAGAAGGAGGTAGATGCTAGGGTGAAAGGGATGGATGGATGGATGGATGGATGGATGGATGGATGGATGGATGGATGAATGAATGGATGGAAGGACAGACGGATGGATGGATGGATAGGTTGGGGTGGGTGTGAGTGCAACACTATTTTGTGTTCCTGAACTGTATTACCCTGCTGCACACACAAACAAACACAAGTAAAAGGGCTGAATCCTCCCCCTGCTTCAACCTAACCGGACATATCACAACAGAAACAGGCGGTGAATTTGGATCACCTACTGATCCTGATGTCACGACCAGAGGGACGGGTAGTGTGTATGTGTATTTTCTTTGTCGTGTGAAGATGAATATAGCTAATTTTTCTTCTTGTACATTTTCATCTGTTTATTTTTATATCATGCAACCTCATAAGCAAAACGAATCGAACCTCAGCGGCTCATAACGAAACTGTAAGGCAACGACGGTCGGTCATTAAGTCGGTCAGAAAGAAACAGAAAAATATTGAACAACCACAACTGGACTGACTGACTGACTGGACGCTGCTGTGAACTGGCACTAACAACTTCCAAAACTACTACTACTATTACTACTTCTACTACTAGTACTACTACAGTGGAATATCGTGACACAATCAAGAGGGAAAGAGAGTGAGAGTTTCCTTCAGTTGGTCCGTTCATGGTCGAACTCGAAGTCCCTGTCCAACCCCAGATATTGTTTTGAACACCAGTTGAATTTGACTTTTCTGACTAATTTCCTTGAAAGCAGTTTATTCACGTTGAAATATCAGTTTCTCTAGTGCAGAGTGGCTTTAACATGTTGCATCTGCTCTCCAGTTCAGTCTAAATGGTCACCTTCCCTCAAAAATTAAAACCTACAAATCAGAATACAGTTTAAGTTACGGAGGAACCGGAAATTAAATATATAGTTATTATTTCTGTATCAGGTTTCATGTTTGGAGTAGACTGGATCCAATAGTACAGGGCCGAGAAAGTTTGATTTTGGTCTGAATCAAAATCAGTCTTTTGATTTTTCAACAGTAATGTCAGAAATTCACATTTCATTTTCACTTTCATTAATTTACTCGAAGCCGCAGTCGCAACAGAACTATTGAGTTGAAGTTATTTGAATTTAAAATTATTTTGTAGAAAAGTTTGGTCTTAACACTCAACAATGGAAAATTAGCAACATGTAATAATTAGAAACCTGTGCTAAAGCTGGTGAAAGCAGGCTACTACTGAACTGGTTATCTGCTGTGACTTACACAGTCACAATTACGATCACAATTCAATTTGTTCCTTAAATACTTTATAATTTTGGCTGTTGTCATGTCGGTGAAGAAACTCTCTCTTTCTGTCTCTCAACTGTTTTACGTTTTGTTCGTGCTCTCTGTACACCCCTCTCCCTCGGGAATATGCGTTCATGTACGTCTGACTGTGAGTATGTATGTGCGTGCACGGCCATATGAATACTGGACTTCCATTCGAATGCACGTGGACTGTTTTTAAATGTATTTATTTGGAGCCCAGGTGTGTGTTTGTGTGTGTGTGTGTGTGTGGGTGCGAGTTTAGTTTCTACAATGACTTGAGAAGAAAGCCATGTATTAAAAATATCACATTTATGCTGCAGAACTGTTTTGAGGAACTGATGGTTTGTGTCGTGGACTAACCGGCTTGCCGTAGGGCGCAGCAGGCCGTGGTGCGTACCGGACTTAGCAATAAGAAATCCCTCTGAATCCAAAAAGCTTTATGTAGATCTCCTGTATATGAGTTGAGAACAGACTGTCTGGGTCTATTGGTTCTGTTGTTTATTTTTAGTTTGGCTGAGATATGATTTTTGTTGTGCTTATTTTTATTTTTTTTCTCTATGACATATAAATGCGTATAAAACTGTGAAATCCATTGTGTTCAGTTAAAGGGTGAGTTTTAGGCTAGTTTTTTTTTTTTTTTGCATGTCAATCTAATTTGTTCAATTATGGATGATTTCTCCTTTCTCCATCTCTTTTCGCGCTACACACACACATACACACACACATATAAATATATATATATATATATATAAATATAAAAATATATATAATCTCGCTCTCAGGGTCTTTCACAAATCCATTATCCGAAATACTTCATGTTCTTATTTCCTGAGTTGCAATTTTCCAAGTCCTGATTATTTTGTCTTTTTTTAAAATAATGATTCAGAACTGTCAATCACTACATTTAGCACTTGACTGTGAACTCATCATCACCTAACAGAAAAGATGTCATTTAATTTTGGTGTTTTTCTAGCCAGAATATTGTGTGACATTGTTGTTCTGTTCTCCCCTCTCACTCGGACATTTGGTTTAAGCCTTTTCTGTTTTCTGGTTGAACCCTCATGTTGAACTTTCTGTCCTGGTCAGAGGTCAAAGGGAACGTCAGAGAGGAGATTTAAGCACATCCCTCCACTAACACAAACACACACATACATGCTGGACCTCAATCAGAAAGCATTATCACACAATCATCTGGAAAGCTTTTAATTTTCTGTGATTGTGTTTCCATCGTTCCTTCCATCCCCTTGTCTGTCCTCTCCTTCCCCCCACGTGAGTAAAACATGACAGTGTTTCACAAAGTCAAGAGATGTAAACCTGTTCTGTATTCAACCCAATAAGAAAAAGCAATAAAGATTATATTAAGGAAAGGTGTGTGAATCAAACCCTGTGGATGTTTTTGTCTTTCTTTACTTACGTTAACAATACTGTTGCCAATCACTTCATTTTATGCCTTACTATACTGACTTTTTTTTTTTACTTTTGCCTTACTATACTATGACTTTTCTTTTTACTTTTTTTGCCTTACTATACTATGACTTTTTTTTTTAAACTTTTTATGCCTTACTATACTATGACTTTTTATGCCTTATTATACTATGACTTTTTTTTTTTACTTTTTATGCCTTATTATACTATGACTTTTTTTTTTACTTTTTTTGCCTTACTATACTATGACTTTTTATGCCTTACTATACTATGACTTTTTTTTGACTTTTTTGCCTTACTATACTATGACTTTTTTTTTACTTTTTTGCCTATGTATACTAATGACTTTTTTAAAACTTTTTTCCTTATGATACTTATGCACCTTTTTTACTTTTTTTTTACTTTTTGCATACTATACTGATGGACTTTTTTTTTACTTTTTTTTGCCTATACATACTATGACTTATGCCATACTATACTATGACTTTTTTGCCTTACCTATACTATGACTTTTTGACTTTTTGCCTTACTATACTAATGAATTTTTTTTGCCTTTTTTTGCCTTACGTATTACTAGACTTTTTTTTTTACTTTTATTGCCATGACTTTTTTTTTGATTTTTTTGCCCATAATCCTATACTATGACTCTTTTTGAGTTTTTATGCCCGTTACTATACTATGACTTTTTTTGCACTTACTATACTGTGACTTTTTTTGCTTACTATACTATGACTTTTTTTGCCCTTACTATACTATGACTTTTTGTTGACTTTTTTGCGCTTACTATACTATGACTTTTTTTACTTTTTTGTGACTTACTATACTATGACTTTTTGTTGACTTTTTTTTGCCTGTTATACTATGACTTTTTTTTGCCCTTACTATACTATGACTTTTTTTGACTTTTTATGCCTTACGTATACTATGGACTTTTTGTGCCCTTAGCATACTATGACTTTTTTTGCCTTACTATACTGGACTTTTATTTGCCTTTACGTATACTATGACTTTTTGTTGACTTTTTGCAACTTACATCATACTATGACCATTTTTTTTTTACCTTTTTTGCCTTACTATACTACTGACTTTTTGTTGACTTTTTTGCTCCTTACTATACTATGACTTTTTTTACCTTACTATACGATGAATTTTTTTTTGACTGTTTTTAGCCTTACTACTACTATAGACTTTTTTTTGACTTTTTTGCCTGACTTTTTTTTGATTTTTTTTGCCATTACTATACTATGACTTTTTTGACTTTTATGCCTTACTATACTATGACTTTTTTTGCCTCTATACATATTTTTGCCTTACTATACTATGACTTTTTTTGCCATACTATACTATGACTTTTGTTGACTTTTTTGCAACTTACTATACTATGACTTTTTTTTTTACTTTTTTGCTCATACTTCAATACTAGTGTACTTTTTGTTGACTTTTTTTATTGGACACTTACTTTGCCATAGCTATAGCATAACTTTTTTTGCCTTATATTGGTTACTATACTTTTGACTTTTTTATTTTATTTGGACTTTTTTGCCTCACTATACTATGACTTTTTTTTGCCTTTGCCTCATATCTAATGACCTTTTTGTTGTGGACTTTTTGGGCCTTAACTATACTATGACTTTTTTGACTTTTTTTGCCTTACTAAGTAGCTTGACTTGATTTTTACCTTTCATAACTATACTATGGACTTTTTTGCCCTTACTATACTATGACTTTTTTTTTTACTTTTTGCCTACTTACTATGACTTTTTGTTGACTTTTTTTTTTGCCTTACTATACTATGACTATTTTTTTGCCTTTACGCACCTATACAAATGAACTTTTATAACGCCTTAATTATGCTATGACTTTTTTTTTTTTACTTTTTATGCCCTTATTATACGTATGACTTTTTTTACTTTTTTTGCCTTACTATACTATGACTTTTTTATGGCTCACTATACTATGACTTTTTTTGACTTGTTTGCCTTACATATACTATGACTTTTTTATCTTACTTTTTTTGCCTTATATACTATGCACTTTTTTACTTTTTTTTTTACTTTTTTGCCATACTTACTATGACTTTTTTTTTTTACTTTTTTGCCTTACTTATACTATGACTTTTTTTTGACTTTTTTTGCCTCACTATTCTATGACTTTTTTTTTTTACTTTTTTTTGGCCCTTACTATACTTATTGACTTTTTTTTCACCGTTTTTTTGCACTTACTATTACTATGACTTTTTTTGCCTTTACTATACTAAGACTTTTTTTTTTACTTTTTTGCCTTACTATACTGTCTTTTTTGCCTTACTATACTATACTTTTTTTGCCTTACTATACTATAGACTCTTTTGCCTTACTATTCTATTGACTGTTTTTTACTTTTTTGCCTTACATATTACTATGACTTGTATGCCATACCCTATTACTATGACTTTTTTTGCCTTACTGCTACTATGACTTTTTGTGACTTTTTTTTGCCCTTACTATTACTATGAACTTTTTTTGGACTTTTTTGCCCTTACTAATACTATGGACTTTTTTTGGTTTGACTTTTTTGGTACCTGACTTTTTTTTTATTTTTTTTGCCTTACCTATTACTATGACTTTTTTGACTCTTTTATGCCTTATATACTATGGACAAACCACTTTTTTTTGCCCTTACACTATCTTATGACTTTTTTTGCCTTACTATTACTATGACTTTTTTTTTGCCATACTATTTACTATACTTTTTGTTTTACTAGGCAAACTAGATGGCAGATCACATTTCTTGCTATCTATGAGCGTGATACTATGACTTTCTTGTCTGATTTACTTTTTTGCCTTACTATACTATGACTTTTGTTGACTTTTTTTGCCTACTTATACTATGACTTTTTTGCTATACATTAATACTTGATGAATTTATTTTTTGACGTTTTTTTTGCCTTACGATAGTACTCACTGACTTTTTGACTTTTTCATGCCTTACTATTACTAATGACTTATTTTGCCTTACTACTACTGATTGACTGTTTTTTGCCATACTATACTATGACTTTTTGTTGACTTTTTTGCCTTTACATATATACTTATGACTATTTTTTTACTTTTTGCCTTACTTATACTATGAGCTTTTGTTGCACTTCTTTTTGCCCTTACTATACTATGACTTTTTTGCCTATACCCTTATACTAGTGAATTTCTTTTCTTGGACGTTTTTTGCCATTACTATACTATGACTTTTCTTTTGAACTTTTTTTGCCTTACTATACTATGACTTTTTTGCCTTACCTATACTATGACTTTTTTTTTGTACTTTTTTTGCCTTACTATATCTATGACTTTTTTTTACTTATTTGCCTTAATATACTATGGACTTTTTATGTACTATACATGACTTTTTTTTATACTTTTTTTGCCTTTAACATATACCATGACTTTTTTTGCCTTACTATACTATGGACTTTTTTTTGCCTCAATATACTATGACTTTTTTTACTTTATGCCTTACATATTAACTATGCACCTTTTTTTGCCTACTATACTTATGACTTTTAGTTGACTTTTTCACTTACGCTGTATGGACACTATAGACTTGTTTTTTTTTACTATATTTATTGCCTTACATATACTAATGACTTTCTTTAGACTTCTTTTTGCACATACTATACTATGACGATTTGTTTTACCTTTTGCCTTACTATATCTATGACTTTTTTTTTTACTTTTTTTTGCCTCACTATACTATGACTTATGCCTTACTAACTATGAACTTTTTTTGACTGTATATTTTATGCCTTACTATTTATACTATGACTTTTTTTTTTACTATTTATCGCATAACTACTACATATCGACTTTTTTATGCCTTACAATAAACAATATAACTAATGACTTATTTTTTTTGACTTTTTTATAATTGACTTTTATCTCCCATACCCATTATACTATGACTTTTTATTGATTCTTATGCACTTACTATACAATGACTTTTTTAACGCCCCTTACAATATACTAATGAACATTTTTTATGACATCATACTATCGGACTATGACTTTTTTTGCTTTACAATATACATGGACTTTTTTTGCCTTACTATTACTATGGACTTTAAATTTTGACTTTTTTGCCTACCATATAAACCATGATTTTTTTGCCTTACTATACTATGTACTTTATTTTTACTTTTTTTGACCAATTACTTTATACTCATGACTTTGGTTTTTTACTTTTTTTGCCTCCACGCTATACTATGATGCTTTTTATGCCTTACTATACTATGACTATTTTGCCTGACTAATACATATGACTTTTTTTGCCTACTATACTATGACTCTCTTTTGCCCGGCACCATCTTCCATGTCTACCAGAATACCACATGATCTCAACACCTCCTCTCTCTATACGCGCTATACTGAATCTATCTCATCCGTTACCAAGCAATATTACTATGACTTTTTTGACCCTCTAACTATCATCTATGACCTTTTTTGACTTATTGTTGCCGTTACTTATACTATGACTTTTTTTTTACTTTTTTGCCTTTACTATACTATGACTTTTTTGACTTTTTTGCCATACTATACTTGATTTTTTTGACTTTTTTGCCTTACTATACTATGAACTTTTTTTTCACTTTTTTGCCTTTACTAGTTACTATGACTTTTTTTTTTACTTTTTTTTGACTTTTTTTTTTATATATATATTGCCCTTACTATACTAATGGACTTTGTTTCTGCTCCTATACTATCACTATGACTTTTTTTGCCATACTATACTAGACTTTTTGTTGAACTTTTTCTTCTCTATAATCTAATTATGACTTTTTTTTGCCTTTACTTATACTATGACTTTTTTCTTTTGACTTTTTGCCTTACTATACTATGACTTTTTTTTTTACTTTTTTGCCTTACTATACTATGACTTTTTTTGCCTTTACTAATACTGACTTTCTTTTTTTGACTTTTTT